CATCTGTGGAACCCGAGGAGAAGGCCCCGTACAAGATGATCCAGACCATTGGTCTGTCTGTGGGAGCGGCCGTGGCTTACATTATTGTGGTTTTGGGCCTCATGTTCTATTGCAAGAAGAGACGCAACGCCAAGAGGCTCCAGAAGGGCCAGGATGGGGAGGAGCCAGAGATGGAGTGTCTGAATGGTGAGGCAGGTGGGTTCCTGAGTGAACAGCACCGTCTGCTGTCTGTTCTGTAAAGGCTATGAGCAGATGTCTGTCGTGCTGAGTCAGAGATTTAGCACGATTTTATTAGACTCATACCCGCGCATCATGCTGTGCTCCCCATGTCTGTTATACACACACGTATATCCAGTTGGGAGCTCCCCATGTCTGTTATACACACGTATATCCAGTTGGGAGCTCCCCATGTCTGTTAGACACACGTATATCCAGTTGGGAGCTCCCCATGTCTGCTATACACACGTATATCCAGTTGGGAGCTCCCCATGTCTGTTACACACACGTATATCCAGTTGGGAGCTCCCCATATCTGTTATACACACACGTATATCCAGTTGGGAGCTCCCCATGTCGGCTATACACACGTATATCCAGTTGGGAGCTCCCCATGTCTGTTATACACACACGTATATCCAGTTGGGAGCTCCCCATGTCTGCTATACACACGTATATCCAGTTGGGAGCTCCCCATGTCTGCTACACACACACGTATATCCAGTTGGGAGCTCCCCATGTCTGTTATACACACTTATATCCAGTTGGGAGCTCCCCATGTCTGCTATACACACGTATATCCAGTTGGGAGCTCCCCGTGTCTGCTACACACACATATATCCAGTTGGGAGCTCCCCATGTCTGTTATACACACACGTATATCCAATTGGGAGCTCCCCATGTCTGTTATACACACACGTATATCCAGTTGGGAGCTCCCCATGTCTGTTATACACACGTATATCCAGTTGGGAGCTCCCCATGTCTGTTAGACACACGTATATCCAGTTGGGAGCTCCCCATGTCTGCTATACACACGTATATCCAGTTGGGAGCTCCCCATGTCTGTTACACACACGTATATCCAGTTGGGAGCTCCCCATATCTGTTATACACACACGTATATCCAGTTGGGAGCTCCCCATGTCGGCTATACACACGTATATCCAGTTGGGAGCTCCCCATGTCTGTTATACACACACGTATATCCAGTTGGGAGCTCCCCATGTCTGCTATACACACGTATATCCAGTTGGGAGCTCCCCATGTCTGCTACACACACACGTATATCCAGTTGGGAGCTCCCCATGTCTGTTATACACACTTATATCCAGTTGGGAGCTCCCCATGTCTGCTATACACACGTATATCCAGTTGGGAGCTCCCCGTGTCTGCTACACACACATATATCCAGTTGGGAGCTCCCCATGTCTGTTATACACACACGTATATCCAATTGGGAGCTCCCCATGTCTGTTATACACACACGTATATCCAGTTGGGAGCTCCCCATGTCTGCTATACACACGTATATCCAGTTGGGAGCTCCCCATGTCTGTTACACACACGTATATCCAGTTGGGAGCTCCCCATGTCTGCTATACACACGTATATCCAGTTGGGAGCTCCCCATGTCTGTTATACACACACGTATATCCAGTTGGGAGCTCCCCATGTCTGTTATACACACACATATATCCAGTTGGGAGCTCCCCATGTCTGCTATACACACACGTATATCCAGTTGGGAGCTCCCCATGTCTGCTATACACACACATATATCCAGTTGGGAGCTCCCCATGTCTGTTATACACACGTATATCCAGTTGGGAGCTCCCCATGTCTGCTATACACACATATATCCAGTTGGGAGCTCCCCATGCCTGCTATACACACACGTATATCCAGTTGGGAGCTCCCCATGTCTTTTCTCTCTGATTACAAAATACGGACATTGTTGGCAATGTTTTACACTGTGTACTCAATAAAGGAAGAAACATATACCGGTAGTCTTAAAACTTAGCATCAGTAAAGCAAAGCCCTGGTTTGACTTAGTTTCTTGTTTCAAAGTAATTCAAATTTTTTCAGAGTAATGAATTTACATTGAAACCTTTTACCCGAACTGAACACGGTGAAATAAGAACACACACAGCTCTAATATTGGTAAATATGAAATAAAAGCTGTGAGTTCTGGTATTGGTAAATATGAAATAAAAGCTGTGAGCTCTGGTATTGGTAAATATGAAATAAAAGCTGTGAGTTCTGGTATTGGTAAATATGAAATAAAAGCTGTGAGCTCTGGTATTGGTAAATATGAAATAAAAGCTGTGAGCTCTGGTATTGGTAAATATGAAATAAAAGCTGTGAGCTCTGGTATTCGTAAATACCTCAATTTGACAAACATTGTATTACAATCGTTAATTGTCAGGTGAAAATTTATGAAATTACTGTTCTCCATGTGTGTAACAATATCAAAAGCTTCGTCCTATGGTCAGTGAACCATTTGTCTTTTAGTTTTAGATTCATAGGATTTACATTTTTTCCACAGCTTTTTGTCTTGTTGTTTACATAGGGTGCAAATAATTGTGCATGGCACAGAATATATTGTTCACTTTTGAAAGGGTATACTATTTAATAAAAATCCCTACTGGGATTTTACTAAAATTGCTTAATTTGTGCTTGAAGGAATCATTTTCAGGCGAGGTAGAGAATTACTTGTAGTTGACATAATGACTAGCCATTTAGTTGAATGGCAGTGATTTTCTCCAGTCTGTTGCACTGTAATGTAGTCATTCCGAAACATGGGTTATCTGTTTGCTGTCCACCAGGGGGTGCTGTACAACAAAATGGCCACACCAGAGCAGAGATTCAGGAAGAGGTGGCTCTAACCAGTGTTGGCACGACTGCGGCAGCAGAGAAACGTCATAGCAGTGCCAACGACAAGCTCCACTTCCCCCGGGCAGACCTACAAACTATCACCACACTGGGTAAGATGGTCATATCAATCAATCACAAAAAAATTATAAAGCCTTTTTTTACACAGTTGTCAAAAAGAGATTTTACAAACACCCAGACTGAAACCCCAAAGAAACCCCAAGCAAACAACAGGGATTATGCACAGCAGCAGAACATCTCAGTAGGAGTGGTAATCACGAACGTCCCGTCCTACACTACAGCAAATAATTTCGCTAGTGGCTAATTTGAGGTACATCGACCCGTTCACGTTAACGGGTAGCTTCTACAGTCAGTTACATGATCATGGCCATGGAAAGCTGACAGGCATTAAGACATTCCATTACTGTTAGATTGAACAATCCAATGGACAAAATAACTGACTTTAGCATGGTTTGGTTGTTGTTCCAGGAGAGCCTGTACTGGTACTGGTTGTGTGTAACTAATAAACAGAGCCACTGATTTTATATTGACCTAGTCTATAGTTTGAAACCCTATCAACATTTTACCTTGGACTAGACTCTGGGTCAATCAGTGTTACCCTCTGTGACCTTTGTTGTCTCTCTATGTGTGTGTGTGTGTGTGTGTATGTGTGTGTATGTGCGCGTGCGTGTGTGTGCGCGTGCGTGCATGTAGGGAAGGGGGAGTTTGGGGAGGTTCTCCTGGCCAAGGCAAAGGGCATCGAGGAGGGCGAGGAGGAGACCGTGGTGCTGGTGAAGAGCCTGCAGAGTAAAGACGAGCAGCTGCACGTGGACTTCAGACGCGAGGCTGAGATGTTTTCCAGGCTGAGCCACAGCAGCGTAGTACGACTGTTAGGACTGTGTAGGGAGTCAGAGCCACATTTGATGATCCTGGAGTACTATGACCTGGTAAACACTCACATGCGTCAGACCACACTTTTTTTTAACTGTTAATTAACAACCAAGTACCTTTTGGGAACCAAATGTAACTTTCAATAACAACTTGAATTCAGCTAAAGATTGGTCATATGAGTAATTGATGAGGGTAGAAAAAGGAAAGTCAAATACTCAGATGCCTATAGGTCCTGACAACTCAGACCCTTTCAGGATACATTTTATATTAAGGATAAATATGGAGGTCAAAGAAGGCACGTTATATAATTAAAACTATAGTGGCCATATCATAGAGTGGACAGTACAGTATTTATATAATAGTTGTACATAAAAGGGGAGGCCACTGTGCAGGTTTTTTACGCTTAACCCTGTTTACATTGAAAGGGCTGTTATGGTGGAGGAATATTGACCCAGTTGTTGCATGTCTGTTATCAGCTGTACTTTTGGTTCAGGTCCTGGTCTTATCTCCACACTACTGTCCAGCAGTATAGTGAAGTGTGGTAGAGAACCAGTCGAGCCACCTTCAGCACATGTGTGGAATTACATCTACCCATGTTTCTACCTAGTTGACCACCAGGGGTCGCAATAGCAAACACTGAAAGGCTTTCTTTATCCTTCCCTAATGATACCTTGTTGTTTCTAGTTAATTATTCCTATTTTTCACATCATTCAAAAAATCATTTCATCAATGTTCTTTGTCATACCAGTTGTGACTGTTTCATGCATTCACAAAGTTATTATATTCTTTACCAACTGATATGCTGTCTTTTAATATTTGTTTATTTTGAAAATAGGGAGATCTGAAACAATTCTTGAGAATCTCCAAAAGCAAAGATGAGAAAATCAAGTCTCAGCCAATCAGCACCAAAACCAAAGTAAGTCATGATTATGTCATTAAGCATTTTATCCAGCCTGATTCACGTTCCCCTCTGTCTATCACAATTTGCGCCACTTAAATGCCAATGCCCGATCTCTTCCACTCTCTATTATCATCCACCCAGATATCCATCTGTACCCAAGTGGCTCATGGGATGGAGCACATATGCAGTCATCGCTTCGTCCACAAGGACCTGGCTGCACGGAATTGTCTGATCAGCGGCCAACGCAGTGTGAAAATCTCAGCTCTCAGCCTCAGCAAGGATGTTTACAACAGGTAACAGACGGGTCTACCGCTTCTGGGGACACGTTGATTTTGGAGGTGATGGTAGCACAGTGCTAGAGTGCATGCTTTGTATGTATGATGTCCTGGGTTCAAATAACCCCAACCTAACCTACCTGGTTAAATAAATAAAAACATTCTGACCTGTGGGTTGGCAGTGAGTACTACCACTACCGGCAGTCGTGGATTCCTCTTCGCTGGCTCCCGGCAGAGTCTGTTTTTGACGATGACTTCTCCACCAAGTCAGATGTTTGGGCCTTTGGGGTTCTGATGTGGGAGGTGTTTAGCCTTGGTGAACTGCCTTACACCAAACTGACTGATGACCAGGTGCTAGAAGGTCAGTACAAATATCATGAAATTAAAGAGTTGTTACGGATGGATTTCACCAGACTTGTGTGTTCTAATGATCAACGTTCAGATGGCAGTTCTGCAATGAGTACTAGACTGCTTTTAATGCATGTGCTTGCGTTCTTTCTGACAGGCTGTTTATGAATGAGAAATACAACTGTCTCAGTACAACTGTCTCAGTACAACTGTCTCAGTACAACTGTCTCAGTACAACTGTCTCAGTACGACTGTCTCAGTACGACTGTCTCAGTACGACTGTCTCACTACGACTCTCAGTACGACTGTCTCAGTACGACTGTCTCAGTACGACTGTCTCACTACGACTCTCAGTACGACTGTCTCAGTACGACTGTCTCACTACGACTGTCTCAGTACGACTGTCTCAGTACGACTGTCTCAGTACGACTGTCTCAGTACGACTGTCTCAGTACGACTGTCTCACTACGACTCTCAGTACGACTGTCTCAGTACGACTGTCTCACTACGACTGTCTCAGTACGACTGTCTCAGTACGACTCTCAGTACGACTCTCAGTACGACTGTCTCAGTACGACTGTCTCAGTACGACTGTCTCAGTACGACTGTCTCAGTACGACTGTCTCAGTACGACTGTCTCAGTACGACTGTCTCAGTACGACTGTCTCAGTACGACTGTCTCAGTACGACTGTCTCACTACGACTCTCAGTACGACTGTCTCAGTACGACTGTCTCAGTACGACTGTCTCAGTACGACTGTCTCACTACGACTGTCTCACTACGACTCTCAGTACGACTGTCTCAGTACGACTGTCTCAGTACGACTGTCTCAGTACGACTGTCTCACTACGACTGTCTCACTACGACTGTCTCAGTACGACTGTCATAGTATAACAACTATATGTTTGATGCTTACATGCCTGGACTTGATTTTAATTTGAGGGAAAAAATAAGTTTTTTTTACATTATTTGCAAGCAAAACAACTCTATTTTAGTCAAGGATGTTAATATTTTCTGCTTTTATATGTTTTTATACATTTTTACATAGTCAGTACAGTAGTATGAACAATTGGGTTACCATATCGTTTATGGTAAAGAGACGTGTTTTAGACATGTGCACTTTCTTTCACAGGTTAACTTCAAGCTATTCTCAGTAGCACATTGGAATATAATGTTATTATCAAGGCAGTTAACGGACTGCCCAATTCTTCAGATATTTCATACAGTTATTAAACAGGTGGTCGTATCCAGGGCCACTTAGAGGGGCATTGAGGGTAAAGTCTTGAGGGTAAAGTCTTAAGGGTAAAGTCTTTTACAGTCTTTTGTCAATTCAGTCTAGAGACCTATCACTTACCTGTCAGACGACTTGTTTATTTTCTAAATCTTGCTCATTTCTACAGAAGAATCAAGGGATTGAGTCCATTCACCTTGACCTGCACTCTCAGTCTCCCAAGTCCAACCTCTACTATCTTTCTCCCCCCTTCCCTTCTCTCCCCCACCCAGGTCTGCAGACAGGCAAGGTAAAGCTGCCGGGGCCGGACGGCTGCCCCTCCAAAGTCTACAAGCTCATGTGTCGCTGCTGGGCCCCCAGTCTGAAAGAGCGTCCCTCCTTCAGCGAGGTCGTCGCGGCCCTGGAGGAGCTGCCCACCAACAGCAATGTCTGAACAGAGGACAACTGACCCCGCTCTGTCATGACCTTTGCCCCCTCCTGCTACCCCCTGGCACCCTCCACCCCCACACCCTATATATCAACAGAAATGCTGGATTCTGAGTCACACACATTTCAGGGATCAGGTGGAGGAGTTATTATTTCAAAGGATGTGTGAAAGGAAGACTTGTTATACCAGTGGATTGGAGACATACCGTAAATGTGTTTGTAGATGGTCTAATGTGAGAAGGACACGATTTGCCAGAAGTTTACATTTGCCTTAATCGCAGCACAGAGGACCGACGCTATCCCTCTGGGCCCATGTGGTTATGCTTTACCCGGGCCTGGGTCGCTCAGGGTGGGTTTGACCCAGAGACAGACTCCCTTCTCCATCATCACCATGCGGCACCAGAAGCATAAAAACGATAGTGCCTCATCTGTCTGGACCTCAAGACAATTTTGAAATCCTCTCAACTAATCAAGGAGAAATGTTGCTAATTCTGTCCAGCAGGGGGCACACGTTGTTTGTGCTGGACTGGTTAAGACACCTAAACACTGTATCTAGTGTTTGTTTCGGACTTGGAATTTGGAGCCTTTTATGTGTTTCAGTTAGGCTGTGGTCTAAGCTGTTGAACCGAAATCTTTTGAAGAGACAGTTCAGGGTACAAAAAAGAAAGGGTTTCCCATGAAGGTTTGTACAATAAAAGTCTCAACATTATAATGTGTTACATATTTTGTTTTGGGAACTGACTTGGATTAACTTGTCTTGTCACTTAAAACATGGAGCCACAGAAATCAATGGACAAGGAACATTTTCAGTTAGTTCTTGTTAATGTGCATTAGGAGTTTAATTTGATCCCAGAGATGCTCATTGGTAAAAGTAATTGATGGCATTGACCATAACACATCACATTTACCATAACAGATCACATTTACCATGACAGATCACATTTACCATAACAGATCACATTTACCATAACAGATCACATTTACCATAACAGATCACATTTACCATGACAGATCACATTTACCATGACAGATCACATTTACCATAACAGATCACATTTACCATGACAGATCACATTTACCATGACAGATCACATTTACCATGACAGATCACATTTACCATGACAGATCACATTTACCATAACAGATCACATTTACCATGACAGATCACATTTACCATAACAGATCAAATTTACCATAACAGATCACATTTACCATAACAGATCACATTTACCATGACAGATCACATTTACCATAACAGATCACATTTACCATAACAGATCACATTTACCATGACAGATCACATTTACCATAACAGATCACATTTACCATAACAGATCACATTTTGCTAGTACCATCCTTCTTATTGTTACAATCTGTGATTATTTCATGGGCTGCAATGCTTTCTCTTCACAGGTCCAATCACAATTCCCCTTGTCGCTGGTCCAATAATTTTGTGCAATGCTGCAATGTGGACCATCCCACAAGGTGATGTGGACATAATGTTGAAATCATGCACTAACTTCACTTAAAAATATATATCCCTTTTTATTATGGTCATATTGTAGAAGGATGTACCTACGGGAACCTGTTTATTTATTTTGAAGGTCCTGTTTTTTTTGCTTAAAAAAGGTACTTCATTCAAATGGTTGTATATGTTTTTTGTTTTCTAGTGATACGTCTCAGTAATTAGTCATTATGTTAATACATCTATTATTACAAAAGAACAAATATGGTTATTGAGCTACAAGTCACCAATGCTCTTTAAGGGACTAAAGTGCCTGGTAAATGAAGGAATATTCACAGTTTTTCCTATTTGCTTTTTTCACAATATCTAATCAAAATTGAAAAGCCTGTTTTTTTTAATACCTCGTTTTTTATATATGTTTTTAGTGTAAACTGTTTTTTATGAATGCTATGCCCTCACCTTTAGCCCATTTTCAGTTTTTTGTCCGCTTCAGCTAATGATCAGAGTAACCACAATGTATACACGCTGCTCTCAATAAAGGCAAACGTTTTTTAACCAGTCTTGTCTATCTTATTTATATGTTACAAAGAGCTTACTTGGCTTGACTGTGTACAATTGATGCAGAATACGTTTTTAAGGTGCTCATTTTGGGATAACACATGTTATGTTAAAATAATGACACTGGTGTTCTAGAAACAGTACACAAGGGTTGTGACAACAAATAAAGTGCAATAAGTATTTATTCAGGACCCTTCACTTTGTCAACAATTTGCACGATATTGGTTTAATTTACAATTAATGAAATACATAACGTTGTTCAGTAATCTACGTACAATTTCTTATTTTGACAAGAAGCGGCTAATCACCTGGCTAAGACCTTAGGATGAAACATGGTTTAGGAAGCATCATGCTATGTGGATGACAAAGATGGAGTGTCTTTGGGACAAGCCTGCTATAGTGCTGCCAAAGGCCTTTAGAAAAAGTACTTAATACAGATTAGGAATAATTCTGCACCTGTAGACATTCCCATTTTCTCTTTAAATCATTAGGAACAGACTGTTTTTTAAATGTTGCCTTCCTAATATGGTGCCTCGTGTGTAGATTGATGCAACCCAAGAATATGTTCAGTTATATAATTCATAATCAATTATAAATTACATCTAGAGCTTTAAGTCATTACATGTATGCCATTTTAAAGACACTATTTTCCACAGGACCTTTGTGTGCTCTCAATGTTTTCTGCTCTACAACTTATTACATATTATGTAATGTCTACAATGGTTAAGGGGTATCTAGTACTTGATTTGAGATAAATTATGTACTGTGAAATATGAATTACCTCTGGTATAGACTATGAAACGTATAACGTGTTATTTGTTGTTCTAAAATACTTCAAAATTCAGTGTCGCTTTGAAGGCATGCGTGTTTTGTTGTTTCAATATCGTATTGCCTGGCCACACTGACGTCGTACAAGGCGCAACCATTTTGGTATTTATTCTAATGAACAACCGTTATTGACCAATGGGAGCTCTAGTCTTATCCTCATCCGCCAATCCGTAGACACCGCTGTGACTCACCATATAAGGACAGACAACTCCATAAAAGGAAACATTGTACCTCTTTATAAGGAGGAAAGTAGATCTTTCATTATAATATTAGTCCACGTC